AGGCGAGTGGGCGCCAAACACGGCAGTGACCAGGCCGCGCAGCTGAACAATGAAGGTGTCCAGTGACTGAGCCGTCGGGTCGAATTTGAGCGCCTGCAGCGCGCTGTGGCAGTCCAAGGCGCTAGCGTCCGGGAACACGATTTAGCCGTGCATCCTTCACGGCTCTCGGCCACTAAATACGCCCGGTTATATATGACAAGATATAACCGGTTTTTCCGCGACACTACGAGCGTCTTCTCTGGGGCGGCCCCGGAGCCGGGCCGACCTCTGCGAGCAGCGTTCGGCGGCAGGCGGGCGGCCGCCTGCGCCCCCGGGCGGCAAGGCCGCTAAGGCGGCGGCCTCATCTGATTGGTGGAGCGACTCGTGTCACGTGACGGTGACGGCGCGGGGTTTGAGTGCATTTGCGTGGTCACTCTGTTCTAAGCCGCCCGGTCTGACGCAAGTCAGCAGTGTTCTCGCTCTGAAATGTTTTTGCGTTTACTGTGGTCGTGTTCAGTGGAAACTGGAAGACATCAAGGGAAGTATAATTTCGGTTTTATATCAATGTTATATTGATTGACGAGGATGTTTTTTCCTTTCGGGGTTTTTATGTTTTTTTTTTACTGGTTTGTTGTTTCTGTCTGATTTTTTTCCCATTTTCGGCATGAGGTTTGGTTATTTTTGTGCTTATGTTATGCTATCACGGTAAGAAGAGGGTCGATGAGCAAGGGGTCGGCAAATGCCCGGTATTATAGGTTCTTTGAAGGTTAGATGAAACAACGAAACTTGGACTGCTGGTAGAAATAGGTTTGGTGTGTTTTTCAGATTTTGGGAGATTGAGTGTAGGTATTTGCTAGGTGTAACATAGCTGTAACTGCTTTTTGTTTCTTCCCTGGAACGGAGCGCCGGACTTTGCCATTCTACACTCCGTGTGAGTGAAATCAGCTCATGCTTTCTCGGTGTAGCAGCTCAGAGTGCACGGCCTGGCCGGCGTAGGGTTTGGTGGCCACGTGGTGTTGGCCGGTGGTTGTGCAGAGAGTTGGTAGAATTGCCGTTTGTGGTACCTGGTGTTGGTTGAACTGTGGTTCCCATACAGGTGAACGGTTACTGGCGTAAGGTGTGCCAGGTGGGCGTACCCCGTGGAGAATGAGCTGCTGGTGATGTTGGCTCTGTCCGAGCGTGTCCGAGCGGGGTTTTCATTAGTGGGTTAGGGATTGTTGATAACAAGGGTACCAACTACCGGGTGAGACTTGAGAGGGTAAATGGAATTCATTGTAAGGATAACCAATGCAATGGTATTTGTCTAAGATGGTATTGTTATCTGGTGTTGATAGGTTGGAATGAAAGGTTTAGTGGGTGATACAGAGGTACAGAGGTGGTACAGTGGAACCCAGTTTGGGTATGATAAGTCTCGGCGGACTAGGATATTATGGATTAGATGGGGAATTATGTAAGGTGGTTTTGGGATGCATTAGCGATAGCCTAGAAAGTTACAGGCTATTACCCAGAGGAAGTTTTTACACCCATGTTTAAAGGCTGCAGTAGGTATGCCATTCTCTAGGATGCAGTTTGAGGGTAGCCCGGGATTGTGTGGCTCTCACTCTGCATTGAGGTACGAGTTAACTGAGTTTCGTTTTTTATGGTGTGGCGTTTGTAAATCGTTTTGTTTTTTTGCCAGAGTGAGGTGCCTTTCTTGTCGTTGGTCAATAGAGCATTGCCAAGGCATGCATAAGCGACATCTGCAATATGCATATCCTGCTGATATGTCATCACACGCATTGTCAGATAAATGGCTCCAGTATACTCGTATATAGCCCCTTTTGATACGAGATTTCGGCTAAAAATGGTTATGTGACACATTCTGTTTTTTTTCTTCCATGGCTTGGTGGTTGGCATCCGACTCTGAACGGCGACGGATCGGCACACTCGGCGGGGCCGGCCCGCTTTGCCAGTCTTCTTTGGCCGCTGGAGGATTCCTTCACAGCTCCCACGTCAGCTGGGGGAGCTCCGACCCCTCCCAGCTCATCTTGCTCCAGTGGTGCTGCCTAGCAGGTCTTACGGGACATCGTCAGGTATAGGCCAATCTGGCCGGGGTTTTGAAAGGTACGTTATTCCATGTACGGGGCCCGATACATATCTGTTAATGGAGGTTCTAGGCGACCCGATAGGGTGGATAGTGAACGCTTGGGCATGGGCGATATCGGCATTTTTGAGGGGATATTTGGTTCCACCAATAGGGACATGAGGGCAATGCTGGTGGAAAGTAAGATACTAAGATAGTAATAAAATTGTGATAAAATCGTTAGGCGAAGTCCGAAGATAAAAATGAAATCTAGTCAACTCTAACGTTAGACGTGTTTTCAACCTTGGTTTGCTGCTGCTGCTGAGGGTTTTTAAATCGTCTGTAACTATCTTCAAAGCAGTCTATTTCTTAGCATATTATTTCTACTTGTCGCTATAGAATATGATATGACCTTTCTCCTGCAAAACAGCGAATGAACATTGAACAATACAGGTCAGGTACTATCATCCTTAGCTAAAATGAAGTAAGTCAGTATGCGTTGTTAGGACTGGGAGTTCCCCTCAGTGTCCCAAAATTGTATTTTGGCTTGGGTGTCAAAGGAAAATTCCTAGGGGCCCGGGAACGATTTTCAAGGTGGGGGGGGGGGGGGGGGGGGCGAGCATATAAGATACCTCACATGATGCATATGAAACGGTGGCGTAGCTAGGGGTCTAAGGGGACGCGTACCCCACCTCCCCATCGGGTTCAAAGGGAGCCTCGGGTCCGAGGGGCCCTGTGGCGCCATTTGACCACTGGGGGTTAACAATGGCCATATAGAAGGGCCCCATGGGGCTCATTAGAGCACCTCATGGACCCTAAATTGTCACACTGATATCTCTTTAAGGGCCCCACGCCGGATTCTGAGGGCCTCTTGTGCCTTTTAAGGGCCCTTCAGTGGTCTCCAAAGGCCCCTTACTGGCCTCTGAAAGTTCTTACCGGCCTATGAGGGCCCAGTTCTAGGGGCATTTCCCGCCTGTGATGGTCCCGCAATTATTTTTCTGAGAGCCCTATAACGGCAACTGTGGGGGCCCTCGTCGGCGCTTATGAGGGCCCACACCGGTGTCTCTGAGGGTTTCACACCCCCAACTCTGAGTGCCTACACTAGTGCCTATTAATGCCCTATATCGGCGACTCTGAGAGTGAGGACCCGAATCCCTACCCAACACCGGCGCATCTAAAGGCCACCCACTGGTGACTTCTGAGGCCCCCCACACCGGTCCGGTGACTCTCAGGGCCCCACCGGCGTCTGATAGTACCATGCCGGTCTCTAAGGACCCCACAGAACTTCTTCTGCTGGCCTAAGGGCCTCTTGCCGGTCACTGAGAACCCCCTGCCGGCTTGTAGAGGGTTCGCGTCCGCAGCTCAGGCCCCACACCCGTCTGTAACGGCTCCACACCAGCGTGTATGAGGGCCCACAGCAACGCCTGTAAGGACCCTCACCGGCGCCTCTGAGAGAATCACACTAGCACCTCTTAGCGCCCACACCGGCACCTGCATGACATTCCCACACCAGTGCCTCTTAAGGCCCCTTACCGGCGGCTCTGAGGGCCCTACGCCGGTGATTCTGAGGATGCTAACGATAACCGAAGACACCATACAAGCGCTTAGTGTCGCTGAGCTTTTAATCCCATACCGGCCTTCCAAGGGCGCCACGTCAGTGCACTCATTGCCCCACACCCCTCCCTTACACCCGGAGCGGGTAAACTGTGTACCTATAGCAACGATTTTACCACAGTTGTACGTTATGTATTTCTCAAAGTTGACTCAAGCTGGTGCAGTATAAAATCTGGCCTGCCAAACTTATGGCCAAGGTCAGGCCCAAACAAAAGCGGGATGACAACAGCAGATGTCAAATCGATACTGTAACAGCGGAAACCATTCAGATGGCAAGGGAAATGCCGTGTGTTTATGTTTAGATGTATAAAGGAAACAAGAAGTCCGGAAAAGGGAGGGAAGATCCTTTCTCGCTGCCTCAATGTTGAGGGGGCGCCGCCCCCTCGGCTCTCAGGTTGGGGGGGGGGCTGCCCCCTGTTTCCTGGGTCTATGAAAATTACTCACCAAATAAGGGATAAGGGTGGAAAATTGATGGTCAGATAAGGCCCAAAAGGAGTGGGAAAAGAATGTACAGCAAAATTTAATACAAGGCTGGTATGTGGAAAGTAAAATGGCTATCGAACCATGCAAATGTTTTTTTCTTGGTAAAATTGGGAGTGGAAAATGGGCTTAGAAAATGGAGGCGAGTGAAAAGTGATTTCATTTGGATGTCGTTTCCTACATAAATCAACAAATTTTGGGACACTGGAACGGGGTACCCCTCGCCAGCATCAGGATTGACGTCACTCAGGACCTGCCTATGGTTGGTTGGTGGGTGAGTTACTGTACCTTCTATGGGTGACATTGAGCCAGCTCGGCGTTTGGAGGCAGTAAACACCTCCAAAACGTGTCGAACTAGGAAGCAACGGCAACCTTTATACCCATATTGGCCTGTTTACAGCGTCTGTATGCCGGTCATTTGGTCCCTGATCAATCCGGAGCTTCGCGGAAAGGCTAGCTTGTTGCCCGTGGCGGGTGATGCGGATGCTATCAGATTTCCAAAACGGGTATTTTTGGTATTCAGGTCGGGTAATTGCCCTGAACATTCGGAGAATCTTGGGATGCCCAATTCTGCAAGTCCCGGGTGAAGCTCGCTAGTCTGCCCGGGGGTTGTTCCCTTCTATACAACGACCCCGTGGCAGCTCGCTAGTCTGCCCGGGGGGTGTCCCCTTCCACAACGACCCCGGGGCAGCTCGCTAGTCTGCCCGGGGTGCCCCCTTCTACAACGACCCCGGGGCAGCTCGCTAGTCTGCCCGGGGGGTGTCCCCTTCTACAACGACCCCGGGGCAGCTCGCTAGTCTGCCCGGGGGTGTCCCTTCTACAACGACCCCGGGGCAGCTCGCTAGTCTGCCTGGGGGTATCCCTTTCTACAACGACCCCGAGGCAGCTCGCTAGTCTGCCCGGGGGTGTCCTCTCCTACAACGGCCTCGGGGCAGCTCGCTAGTCTGCCCGGGGGCGTCACTTTCTACAACGGCCTCGGGGCAGCTGTCTGGTCTGCCGAGGACGTACTGGAGCTGGCTACCGCCAGGACGCCGGTATAGCGCAGGCGTCATTCCGGAGGCTTAGAATGCTGATGCCGGCGCGCGCTGAGAGCTCTCCCCTTTTTGCTGGTCGGCTATCTATGACCTGATTACCTATAGTCTCGTGGTCACTGTTTTAACCCCTTGTCAAGTTTTTAGGTAACATAAAACATTCATGGTCATCATTGCCACGTGTAGCACAGGGGCTAAGCCCCTTACGTAAGTAACAGTAGCTGCGGCCTCTGTTTTCAGTTGCTTAACAACCAATGGGTTTCCATGTTTTTTAAGGGGCGGCGCTAAAATCATAACAATAATAACAATAATACAATAATAACAATAATTATTAACAATAACAATAACAATAATAAAAGAAAAAGCAGCTCACTAGTCTGCCCGGGGAAGCCGTTTCTCATGGCCTCGGGTGCTGCCCGGGATGCTCCATTCTTCCACCTTCTACAACGGACATGGGGCGGCTCGCTTGTCTACCCGCAGGTGGCTGCCACTAGGACGCTCGGTAGCGCGGGTGTCCTTACGGCGGCTTAGAGCGCTGATTCCTGGAACGAGCTGAGAGCCCTCCCCTTTTTTTGCTGGGCGGCTGTCAACGTCCTCCGTTGATACTGTTCTAATCCCTTCAAAAGTTCTGGGAAAATTAATGGTCGCGCTGACAGGCATGTGCATAGGGTTCAAGGTAAAGGAAAATACAGCTTCTGCTGTCAGATGCCTCAGAACTCATGGATGTTTTTTTTTCGGCGGGTATATCGAGGGCCTTTAGTTGGTGGAGGCTATCATCGCAGTAGTGGCTAATGCTACCGGTTGTTCGTCCTGCTGTAAGGGCTTCGGTATAAATGGCGTAATATGGTTGTTCAATGGTGACCGCTGTATCGCTCACATCCATGTTGGCAGGTTTTAGGGATCGTGGCGTTTCTGGTAAGCTTCGGGCCAGGTTGAGAAAATAATTACCTACCTTCAACCAAGCACGTATTTGGGTGGGTTTCCGCCACTGGTCTCGACACTGGCGGCGACTATAGGTCTTTTGTGTTAATTTGTATCCCCCATTCGGTCTGCTGGTCTCGGGAAGGGGGTGTTTTATTTTGGCGCATTGGTGTCTGGGTGGATGTATTGAATGGGTGGGGACACCATTGCGCCGCGCGGGGGGAGGGGTGGCGGCCCGTTGGCAGGGCAGTCTCGGTTGAGACATGTATACTTGCTATAGTATGTTTGTGTCGTGTTCATTTGGGCTGAATATACCAATAGCCCCTTTTTGTACAGCTACAGTGTTTTCCTGGAGGGAGTTGGTTGTGAGGTTTGCGCTGAGATTGGTTACGCATAGCATAGCTAATTGTCTCTATGTTTGCTGGCAGCTCGAAGGGGAAGCGGAAAATACGCCCGGTTATATATGACAAGATATAACCGGTTTTTCCGCGACACTACGAGCGTCTTCTCTGGGGCGGCCCCGGAGCCGGGCCGACCTCTGCGAGCAGCGTTCGGCGGCAGGCGGGCGGCCGCCTGCGCCCCCGGGCGGCAAGGCCGCTAAGGCGGCGGCCTCATCTGATTGGTGGAGCGACTCGTGTCACGTGACGGTGACGGCGCGGGGTTTGAGTGCATTTGCGTGGTCACTCTGTTCTAAGCCGCCCGGTCTGACGCAAGTCAGCAGTGTTCTCGCTCTGAAATGTTTTTGCGTTTCCCACCCACCCACCACCATTTTGGGGCTTTTTTTTTACACGCACCACACTCTTAAATAAAGATGGGTTTTTCCACAAAATGTGGTTTTTTCCCCAACTAGGTCCCCCGGTTTTTTTCTAGTTAGGACTTTTTCCGGGGGAGGACACACACGACAGGGTTTCTAGTTTGGGTGGGGACACCATTGCGCCGCGCGGGGGGAGGGGTGGCGGCCCGTTGGCAGGGCAGTCTCGGTTGAGACATGTATACTCGCTATAGTATGTTTGTGTCGTGTTCATTTGGGCTGAATATACCAATAGCCCCTTTTTGTACAGCTACAGTGTTTTCCTGGAGGGAGTTGGTTGTGAGGTTTGCGCTGAGATTGGTTACGCATAGCATAGCTAATTGTCTCTATGTTTGCTGGCAGCTCGAAGGGGAAGCGGAAAATAATATTATACCTACTTACATTTACGACTTTCTAACAGGTCCCGATTTTCCCGGTTTTCGGGTCATTGACCTGACCTGGAAGGTCACCCGATGACCTAGGACCTTAAAATTGGGTATCATCGGCTTCCTCTCGTGACGGGCAACACGCTCGTTTTTTCCGCGAAGCTCTAGCTCGATCAGGGGCCAAACGCGAGGGGGGGTCGTACCAACCCCCCCTTGTGCCGTCGAAGGACGCAAAATGGCCTGTGCCGGCGAGGGTTAAGGGCCTTTTTTCGTGCCTCCTGACAATGGCGGCTAAATTTCATATCATCTGTGATCAAAACCCCCAAATCTTTTTCTTCATGAACATTTCGAAGTGTCTCACCATTTATGTTATATAGGTCATGATCACCATATCCCCCCAAGTGGAGGACTTTACATTTTTCTATATTAAATTCCATCTGCCATTCTCGAGTCCAATCATGAAGAGTATTCAAATCCAATTGTAGTGCTTTCTTGTCGTTTTCGGAAGTAATTTCCCTTGCTAATTTAATGTCATCGGCAAACTTCCAAAAGTTTGCTTGTTGCTTCGAGTCTATCAAATTTACAAAAATGATAAACAATAAAGGGGCTAGGACCGTACCCTGAGGTACACCACTTCTAACATCCTTCCAATCCGCTTCATGTCCGTTAAGTATTACTCTCTGTTTACGTGCTAATAACCAGCTCTCAATCCAGTTGAGTAAAGCCCCGCTAAGTCCATGAATTTCTAATGATGTTAGTAATCTTCTATGGGGAACTTTATCAAAAGCCTTACAAAAATCTAAATAGACTACTGATACATTTTTACCTCTATCTACAAGGTCTGTTACATACTCAAGGAAATCTAATAAATTTGTCAAACATGAACGACCACTTCTAAACCCGTGTTGAGATGGCAACAGAAGAGCTTCTCGCTCCAAATGTGCCAGTATGTGTTTTTTATTATCTTTTCGATTATTTTACATACAAGAGAAGTGAGACTGACTGGCCTGTAATTTCCCACCACTGTTTTGTCTCCGCCTTTTAATATTGGCACTACGTTAGCATGTTTCCAGTCATCAGGAATTTGACCAGTATCTAAAGAGTTTTTAAAAATAATATAAAGTGGCATGGACAGCTCTTTCGCTGCTTCCTTTAAAATTCTGGCAGATATACCATCTGGACCACCCGTCTTATTTATTTTGAGGTTCTGTAAACATTTCAGCATGTCCTCATGATTAAGAGGGATGCTCGTAAGCTTCTGTGAGCATGCATCGTTTTTATTGGTGGGAATGTTTGTAAGACCCTCATCAGTAAATACTTTAGAAAATTGATCATTGAGAATCTGAGCCTTATCAGCGTCTTCGTGATAAATTATTCCATCCTTTCTAATCGGACAAATTCGTGCATCATGTTTGTTGAACTTATAAAAACTTAAAAATCTTTTTAGGTCTCCACCGCATTCATTAGCAAATCGCATCTCTGTTGTACGCTTTGTTTTACGAATCATGCTTTTTAATGTTCTTCTGGCTTTCAAATACCTGATCGTTTTTTCAACAGATGGATTTGATTTAAATTCACTATATGCTTTTTTCTTTTCATTGAAACATTTTTGTACCGACCAATTAAACCAAGGTGGTTTCGGTATTTTACCTCTCCGCCTCCTCCTCATGGGAATAAATCGTTTCTGGGCCTCAGTGAGTACATTTTTGAAAACAATCCACATTTCGTCAACATTTTTACCTTCAAACATTGCGCTCCATTTCATACAAGTCAAGAACGATCTGATTGCATCATAATCTCCCTTGGCAAACTTTGGAGTAATATACATTCTAACACCTTTCTTCTTCAAGCGACAATTTATGCTGAATCTTATGATAGCATGATCACTATTTCCAATGGATTCTCCCACCATGACATCTGTAATTAAGTTTTCATTGTTAGTTAGAACCAAGTCAAGTAGTTCATCTTTTCTGGTCGCCTGCAATACATGTTGTGTCAGGAACAATTCTTCAAAATTTTCCCTGAATAGAGTAGTTTCCCACAGGGTTTCGGAGTCGGAGTCGGAGTCGGAGTCGGAGTCGCCCGGAGTCGTGGCAAGCAGCCAGGAGTCGGAGTCGGAGTCGGAGTCGGTCCAGCTGCCTCGACTCCGACTCCGGAAAGCTAACTGAAGTCAATCCGTGCTATCACTATTCAGTTGTTTTTAACCAGTGGCCCCACGGCAAAATTCGCTTCCGGTGATCACAAATAAGGTATGTTTTCACACATATTGTTTTTGTTCTGAAAAGCTAACATTGCATCTTACAAATTTCAAGTTCTGTCATAATTTAGTTGGCAACTTGGCAAGTATTTTGTATTCGCGTTATAACTTCTACTCTCCAGTGTCAAAGACTTAATGACAACTGTATATTTACTTTCTTCTTTTATCGCTCCGAAAAGTGCCTTACACAAACACAGACCGACATGATGGCGATGCCCGTTACCGTGGTCATGATACGGCCACATTCGAGTACTTTTCGGCGGGTTTTCAAGCTGGCCGCCGGCCGCTGGTCTCTAAGGATTCAGCAGCGTCCACGTGGGAGAAATGGTGACCGCATGAACGAAACCGGAGCGTTCTCTCGGTGGGCGAAAAGGGTGTCCGGGACTCCGGAAAGTTCTGGCGCCTCTTTTGGATGTCGTCTAACGCGCGCTGTGATTATTGGACTTTCAACCAATCACCGCAGATATGACCCCTTGTTCACCGCTCAGCTAGGGGTCGCTAAATATGACCTTGAAACCGTTTTCAGTGCCATAGGCGGCGGAACGAGGGGGGCACCGGGGCACCGTGCCCCCCTTTGATTTTGGCATTTTAACATAGCCTTTTCCATGCATGCATGGAAAGAATGGGACCAAAAGTCGGCAGTGCCCCCCTTTAATTGAAGGTGTTCCGCCGCCACTGTTCAGTGCTAGGCATATGGGCGAAGATGCGCCTTGTCGCTGAGAGCCCGCGCTCGGGGGCCCGGTGCGGCTTGAACGAGGCGCGAGTTGCAGCGCGATGCGGCGTTTCCCGGCGAACGGTTGAGCAGGCAAAGGTGCATTTCGGATTGGAAATTTCTTTGAAAATATTCTCACTCAGTTACGACTACGGTGGGGTCTGATGGACACAAATGTTCCATTATCTTCGTCAAGGTCAAATAAATGACTGACAGGCTAGTCCACGAGGGGTTCCTGGACACGGCAATCAAGGCGACTTGCCCTAAGGGTCATTTCGCACTTCAACAGCTCCAACAACGCCACTGCCGTCCAAACCAAACTGACAGAGGAGCTCGGCGGACCAGATCACCGTGGTGAAATGAGAATAGGCCACCTTATTATCCCAGCCTTAACTCGCCGCTCGACTAAGGCATGCTACGCGTTTTGCAGAATAAACTCTTAGGCCACCTCTCATCCCAGCCTGGAGTCGCTGAAGACTCGCATCATGACAGCATGGGAGGACAGGAAATGTCCTGCATCGTCAAAGCCCGCAGGCGTTTCCGCCCTTGCGTCGAGGCCGTCGTCGGCACAGACGGTGGTTACAATTAATGGGCACTTAACAGAAGCATGTGGCTTGGTGTTCCTTCTCATTGTTTTGTTCTATTTTTGAGTATCTATGGACCAAAGGCATTTATTTAAAAATGTTGAAAAACGCCAGGACTTTCCGGACACCCTGTAGAAATAACACGGCGCGTCATATCACGCGGAATTTTGGCAGCCACCATTGCCCTTTGTATCAGACCCGGAGTCGGAGTCGGAGTCGGAGTCGGAGTCGGAGTCGGTCAGGAGCCCGGAGTCGGAGTCGGAGTCGGAGTCGGAAGAGCACTACCACGACTCCGAGTTGTGGCTTGTTCCTTCTTTTGACAACTTTGGGAGATTGAAATCTCCTAAAAGGACAGTATTTTTATCTAGGCCTCTTTCTATTTCATCAACCATGGCCAGATCCGCTTGCTTTGATTGATTAGGAGGTCTATAGAAAGCTCCAATTCTAATTTTACTATGGAGACTTCCATCAGGAAAGATGTCAATCCAGAGGGATTCGACCTCACCACTTTCATTAAAATGTCCTAGTACGGATGGCCTTAGGTTTCTTTTCACATACGCTAAAATTCCACCACCTACTTTTGTTTTTCTTTGATAAGTGAACATATCATAGTTAGCAATGGCAAAATCTTGCAAAAGATCCCCTAACATATTCTCATTAACCCATGACTCTGTTATAATTACTACATCAAGATATTCAGCAATCATGTAAATTTGCAATTCCTCAATTTTATTTCTTATGCTCCGAGCATTGGTATAAAAACACTTCAGAAAGGTTTTAACCTCATTACTTGAGTCTTCCTCACCTGTAAATTTCTTTAGTTTTCCTGATGTAGCTCCTTTTCATAAAGGCTGCTCAGAAGGAGCACACCTTCTCTGCTGAAGTGACAACCATCAATTGAGTACAGTTCCCTTTTCCCCCAAAAATGATCCCAGTAGTCTAAGAAACGTATGTTCTTTGCTTTACATAGCCTCTTAACTCGCTCATTGATTCCAAGTGCTCTGGATGTCCATTCTATCCTGGCCCCAATTTTAGGCAAAATGCCGGTAATCATGCATTTTCTGCCGGACTTTGTAAGATCACTTATTACCATCTTATAGGTATCCATAAGTTCCTCCGATTATGTGTTGCCAACATCATTTACACCTCCTTGTAAGATAAGGACACTGTTGGGACTACTATCATTCACTACGCCAGTAAGTCTGTCTGACAAGTCCTGTAGCCTTGCGCCTGGTAAACACACCCTCATTCGTTTGTCCAGATTTTGTTCACAAAACGCTCTATCCATAAATTTGATCCGCGAGTCTCCATAAAGTATGACCTCAGATCCCCCCTTTTGTTGCATGACTTGGCCTTTGCCTCTTTGCTTATCATTAACGCTGGAGACTTTCGGATCGCGGTCAGATGCAGATTGGCCCTTTCCTAATCTGTTCCCAGAATTCAAGCGAATGTCCGCTTGAACAGCAACCTTGTCTGTCAATGGATTGCGGTCCCCTTGACCGTTCTCTTGACTACTAATCGGTTGACAAGATAGATCATTCACTGAATTCACGCTTTCAGGAGCAGTAGATAGTTTACTACATATAATCCCTTGTGATAAAGCCTCCTGTCTTACTTTGACATCCTGCACCTCTATTCGGAGTTGGTCTACACTGAACTGCAGGAGCCTAATCGCTTCCATTATGTCCATGTTAGTGACACCCAGAAAAGATGGGCCTGGCCTCGAATCATAGCTTGGATTGTACGCAGAACTACATACATGAATTGTTGATTCCAGTTCTTGGACCAAAACAGAGGCATTCTCGTGAGCGACCTGACAAGCACCTGTTTCGCTACTATATGAGTCAGATGTACATGGTCCTTCGGGCTGTCCAGAGGCCGGCCCAGATGTCCCCACCGGGAACCGTGTGACCGGTCCCTCGGGCTGTCCGGAGGCCGGCCCAGCTGTCCCCGCCGGGGGCTGCATCGCCGGTCCCTCGGGCTGTCCGGAGGCCGGCCCAGATGTCACCGACGGAGGCTGTGTGATCGGTCCCTCGGGCTGTCCGGAGGCCGGCCCAGATGTCACCGCCGGGGGCCGTGTGACCGGTCCCTCGGGCTGTACGGAGGCCGCCGGCCCATGTAATGCCGAGTTCGATACCCGCAAAGAGGCATGCTCCGGTTTGATGTGGTGATTTGAGCACCGCCACTTGGTCCTTTCTTCCTTGACGCAGCCGACATGCGACATGTTCTGGCAGGAGCCACTTGAACAGGACAAGACGCCAGCTGTTTTATTGACAGTCAGTTGGGGTGAATTTCTAGCGCTTTTTCGGGCTGCCGGCCTACAGTGCATCGTCTCTGATGACAGCCACCGAGCTATTCTTTTTGCTACGCCAAACCCAAAGCAGGTGTTGTTCATTGTTTATTACGCACGAAACAACCACAGGCTCCAGGCCCACTTACGGCTGCAGTCACATAACATACATGGGGCACATAAAAGATTCACGAACATAAAAGATGAATGACTAGACAGCGTAGATTAAGCATACGTAGATAGCACCGCTGCCTCAACCATGGACATCAGTAGGAACCCTCACTGTTTGCGAACTTAAAAACCTGAGATCTAAAAGAAGATGGTGAGTAAAAGAAATCAGTCCCTGGCGCTTTTTTCAAAAGCGCGTTGCATGTTTCCGGTAACCGCGACAGGAAGCCGTTACGCACAGATTTCACTCGCCCGCCCGGCACATGGAACATGCCAGTGTGACGGGTGCGTCGTGAGGGAACAGCCAGCGAGAACACGGATACAAGATACTGGCAGTCCAGGCGGTCATGCATGACAGACTGCAAGAACCTCATGTCGGTTTGAATCAGGCGAGCTTTGATGGACTGGATTTTAAAATGGTTCAAGAGTGTGGTGTAGTCCATGGAAGGGCAGCGGGGCTGAGTTTTACGCCCTAACCACATCAGAAACCTATGCTGAACACGTTCCATGCGTTTGAGATGAGTTGCGGCGGCCCCGGACCAGGTGACACTAGCGTACTCCATCACGGACAGCACGTGGGCTCTGTACGCTGACAAGATTGCATGATGATTGAAGTCTGGGCGGCGAGCACATGGGGACATCTGGACACTGCGCATCAGCAGACCGAGCATACGGTTCGCCTTGCCAACCGCGGCATCAACATGATCGGCAAAAGTCAGTTTTGCATCCAGGACGACACCAAGATCGCGTATCTGCTCGCATCGCTCCAGTTGATGTCCGTCCAGGTAATAAGTACCCTGTACCGGGGCCGTGCGGAGAGTGAATGATATCGTCTTGCATTTTGCTGGATTGAGCTTAAAGTGCCAAGTTTTTGACCAGTCGCGCAGACGGTTCAGATCGGCCTGAAGGGAAAGGGTGTCCTCGTGATTTCGAATGCGGTGAAAAATTTTGACGTCATCCGCGTATGCCAAACAGCCTGTCTTGATATTGCTTGGAAGGTCAGCGACATAGCAGGCGAACAAGATTGGGCCGAGAATGCTGCCTTCCGGGACGCCAGACAAGACTGGCGTCCACTCAGAGTGCTTCCCATCGACAATGACCCGTTGGGAGCGCTGGCACAAGTAAGACTCAATCCAGCTATACGCAAGACCTCTGATGTTAAAAGAGTGACGGAGCTTGAGTAAAAGGAGCCTGTGGTTGACACTAGTAAAAGCGGACGAGTAATCCGTATATATCGCGTCAGTCTGCAAGCCTTCTGTCAGTGATGTCCAGCAGTGTACCAGAAAGCATGCCAGGTTGGTGGTACAAGAACGCCTTGGGAGAAATCCGTGTTGTGAGTCAGGTAGTGCGGGGAGACATGCCTCAAGCAAGCTCTCACACACTACCTTCTCAAGAATTTTAGAACAAATGGCCAAAAGAGAGACAGGACGGTAGTTTTCAGGAAGCTTTTTTGAGCCCTTTTTGTAGACTGGGATTACATTGGCCCGCTTCCATACTGATGGGAACACGCCGGACTCCACTGACAGACGACAAATAATCTCGAGTGGCACCGCTATCTGGTCGGCACACTCGCGCAGGATGCGGGCACTAAGGCCATCAGCCCCGCAGGCCTTGTGCATGCTGAGCTCCCTTAAATACTGCGCAACACGACCGGGCGGTACATGAAATGTAAATAATCCGTCACAGTTAAGCTGTGGTGGTTGTGGTGTTTCCGTGTTTCAGGACCTTGTGTCGGTCAGAGTGGCGAAAAGTGATGACATTCGTCATATTCTCTGCAGAGAAGGTCACGCTTTTGTAGAGCAGCCACTTCTGACAATGTCAGGATCCCTCTTTAACGCGTTCACGTCCAACTATGTCAAAGAAGTGAACAGTGAGATTCATGCTGGAAAACGTGGGCAGCGCCGTTACACAGGACCTGTAACGCGTGATGAACATTCTGCAAAAATCAGGAAGCTAAGTGGCGGAAAATAGCTGCACCATTTCCAGGAGCTTTCCGTTTTTTACCTGTCACTAATGGTGTATGAACATTGAACATTGAGCTGTATGCGTCTTACATAGTTCCGCAAAGTGCGTATAATTTGAGATGTCATGTCACGCGCTCTTATGCGACGATTGAAAGTGTATGATAGCGCTTACAAGAATAGCGTGCGTGCGTGCTTTCGAAGCCAGACGATGTCCCCTTGTCAATTTTGTACATATGGCACCAGGCGTCGCCCCATGCGGCAGATGGCCCGTCAGAAGCGCCGGGAGGGACCCCCATGGGTCCCCGGCCGGTGAGATTACCCCAAAGGTCTCCCCTGACCCCTGCATGGGCTGGGGCGGTAGCTGCAGTGTGCCGTCCGAGCCGGGCCCTGCGAATGCTGAGTGTGCAGTGCGACCTGCGCTTCAGTGTATTGTGCCTTGTAATGTGTTGACTGGTGTTGAGCTGGACATTTTGGTATAGGTATACATGCTAATTCTGTTCACTGGCTGCCTTTAAAATGAAAAAGATTCGCTTAACCCTATTAGTGGCAGGGGGGGTTGTTTTTATCCATCCCTCAGGTTTTTCGGGAATATCTCCGAAACCGCTGAAGCTACGATGCTGAAATTTTCTGACTTTTCCTAAAACTAAATTGGGCACATTCCCTGAAAATTTCAAGTTCATAACTTTACCAGGGGCGGCTCCAGAGCACTGGGAATTGGGGGGTCCTATTCGTGAAGCGAGTCATTTGGGCGAAGATCACGATGCTGCACCAGTTTTACGAACAGTGAATAAAAGGTATCATGTGATAACATATACAGTTATTGTGCATCCTCTTTTGACACGTTTTTGCTATAATAGGCGGATCC